CCCCCCCACACCACCCACGGGCCTGCACAGGAGGATCCCATTCTGTGGCTTGCAGTGTCGATGTGCACGGTTTTTAATTCCCCAGTCTCACTGGAGTGGGGCGACGGTGGTCAGGTGTTTGTTGGGGAGGGAGGTGGGAATGAGGGCTTCGTTTCTCCCCCCCCCCCCCACCTCTGCTCCTGCTCCCCCCATCCCCCGTTTCCACGCCCCACTCTTTTCCCATTTCCTGTCTTACTCACTCTGTCTCTCTCTCTCCCTCCCCAAATCTCCGTGTCGTTGGTCGCTCGGTGACATAGAATCTGCTGGTCGCGGAGCGGGGTGGGTTTGGGATCGGCTTTGGTAGGGGGCTCCCTCCCTCCCACACACACACATACAACCTCCTCTCTCCTTCCTCCTTTGGGCTTGCAAGACATGACGCGCTGATACACCAGGGTGGGGGGGAAGCAGAGAGAATGGGGAGTTGGGGTAAGGGCAGGGGCAAAAATCTGTTTAACAGCAGCATTGCAAATTCCAGGGGAGGGTGGGGGCAGTACATACAGGTTGTGTGGGGGGGTGGGGGGCTTAATCCTCTCTGTTTTTACGAATTCATAATAAAACACGAAGATGCCACGAGCCCGCGGCCATCCTGTCTGTCTGTGTGTGTGTGTGTTATCCCCGTCCCTAATTGCCCCCTGGAGGTGGGGGGTTGCTGCCCTATCCCGTCCAGGGTGAGTGGGAAGTATCCCTCCCACCAATCCTACCTTGGGCCTTGGCGGGGAGGGGGGGGAAAGAGTCTGGGCGGCTGGGGTGTCCCCAGTTCAGTTTCTGCTCAATGGGTAACCCCATTGAATGTCAAGCGGGGTGCAGACAGGGAAGGAGCTGGGGCATCTGGATATTTATTAATAAGAACATGTAGTACAAACTCTGTGTCCAGTCTTCAAGATCCTCAGGCTGCCGAACCCGGGGGGCAGATACATGGGGAACACCGACTCGGAAATATATCGCACCGTTGCTTCAGGGTCGAAATGCTGGGCCCAGGCTCCCCTGAGCGTATGAAATAGAGGTGACGGTAGGGAACGTTACTCCGAGTGGAGCTGATGCTTTAGGGAGGAAGTGGGTGAGGGGGAGATTCAAGCTTGCTGTTCGAAATGACTGGGTTTGGGGAGGGACAGGGATTTGAAGCAATTGCAGAGAGGAGCGGTAGGAGCTCCCTGAGCTTGGGTGGGGGGGGGGGACACTGCCCCAGTGGAGCACGTCGCGGTTTGAGCTCGAGGATCCGAGGCGTGTGGCATGGAAACAGGCCCTTTGGCCCCTATCCATGTCCCCATGCAGATGCCTTTAAAATGTCTGTAACTGTACCAGCCCCCCACCCACCACCCTCTGTGTGGAAAAAGACGCGCCTTAAGATGATGCCATAACGTGCTGACATTTTGGACTTTTAATAAGATCACTTGTACCTCGGTGGGAACAAGATAAACCTGAAATCTTGCTTCTTTTTTTCTTCGTCATACGACTAAACGATGCAGGGGGTCAGGGTTCGATCCCACGGTCCAAAGATGTGCGGGTTGGCCGTCCTAAGTTACCCATGGTGCCTAACCAATGTCCTGCACAGCCCCTTCTGTGCCACCCCCAGCCATCGAGCTGCAGAAAAGACGGTCGGCCTTTGGTAGACGTCACACACGACACGGGTTTCCATTTCAATCACCAAAGTTTTATTTGTCTCGTCACAGCCAGGGCCCGCACGGACCAGGATTATCGCACATTATTCAAAAATTGACACTTTCAGGCCCCCAGTCACCGAGAGATGCAGTACCCACTTCCTTAATGCGAAAGAGAAAGGCTAAACTTAAAGTGAAGATAACCCTTTTTTATATATATATATATATTTCTCATATAGATATTTTTATATACATACACCAGACACACGTATAACATATGAAGCAAAATAAATTATCTTAAAAATGTACATTCATTTGGTTTTTTTGCCGAGAGAGAGGAAAGAAACAGAAATCGCCTGGGGTCCTTCCTGCGGCACAGGAGTTCGTGAACCTTCAGATGGCGGTCCGAGTGATCCCTTTGCACCTGGAGGAGAGTGGTCGGCGGAAGGGGTGAGAGTCTGGAAGACGATGTGATGGTTTGGGGGAGCGGGAAGGGGGGTACGGAGGAAGCCGGCAAGGACCCCAGCCCCCTCCCGGGTAGGTGCGGCCTTCCATTATAGCAGGAAGGGGTTGGTCGTGGTGGGGACCGGAACAGCCGGGTGAGGGACGAAGCCGTTGAGGGGGACTGGCACAGCAACTGGGGTGGGCATCACGCTGGGGGCCGGGAGGAGGGGGGGCGCGCCCGGAGGTGGCATCACCAGGGAGGGCGGCAGTGGTCCCTGGGGCAGGACGGGGCTAGCGCGCAGCTGGTTGAGGGACAAGCTCTGTGTCGGTGGGGCAGCGCCAAAGGGGTTGGTGCCTGAGGATGGGGTAGATCCGCCTTGGGGAGGGGGGCAGGAAGGGAGAAAAAAAAGAGAAGGTCAGACAGGGATTCAGGTCGAGGAGAATCTCTCTCTCTCTGTCTTAGAGACAACACACAGTCGATCTGCGTCAGGTCCACATCCCAGATCCCGTTCCACAGTGATACAACCACCCAGATCTCAGTGTCACCTCATCAGGGGGACAGGGACGGAGACGGACAGAGAGAGAGACAGAGGTACAGGAGACACTGCGAGAGCGAGAGAGTGAGACAGACAGAGAGAGAGAGTGACCGAGCTATAGGAGACACAGCGAGAAAGCGAGAGAGAGAGACAGAGCTATAGGACACAGCGAGAGAGACAGACAGCTATAGGAGACACAGCGAGAAAGCGAGAGAGAGCTATAGGAGACAGAGCGCGAGGGCCATAGGAGACACAGAGCGAGAGAGAGTGAGACAGCTATAGGAGACCGCGAGAGAGAGAGAGAGAGAGACAGACAGACAGCTATAGGAGACTCTCCCTCTCTCGCT